TCACATGCTTGAGGTATTCGGCCAATCACAACGCACTGGATAGCTGGCCAATCAGAGCACACCTCGCTTTTCAGACCGATGAGCTTTGTAAAAATCAATGTGTTTCAGAAAGGCGGTGCATAGAGGAGAAACAATAATGTACAGTATGTGGAAAATAATGTGTTTTGAACCTTAAACTGCATAAACACATTGCATTACACCAAATACACCAAATAATGTTCTTTTTAGCAACGTCATATGACCCCTTTAAAAAAAAGTTTTATTCCAGCTTATATGAGTAAGTTTCATAAAAAATCAACATCTGAACAAAAAGCTGAGAAAATCATGTTTTTATAAAAGACTACTTCTGGATCAGATTCAGATCGATGATCAAAACAGATGGAGTCGATCGCTTCCATCAACACATCCAGAGCTTGCACAGTCCTAAACCACTTCCTGGATCATCATTTCATTTGGTAACATCAGGCAGTTTTGATTTATAAAATGATTAATGTTTGATGATCACGTTATTTTACATATGCATCTGCTTGCAAGCACGATCAATTGTTTCTACTTCTTCTTCACTGTGTTTTGATTCAGAGACTTAATACTCTTTCAGAAGATGAGTAATAGTGCCTCCTACCATACACCAGTGAAAGGACAGAAAAGTAACACCGGTAGCGAATATTTTGTCTCATTTTAAGCAATGATTGATTGATTGATTAGAAAACAAGACTTTATATTGTATGTAATCTTAATTTAAGAATTTTTACATATTTGTACTGGAAAACAAGACAAAAAACATATGAAAAACATGTTTTGCAGTATGCAATTGTGCAGTTTTATCAGTTTTTTATGCTTTATTTTGATTCAGGCTTTTATTTTCCCTGATCTGTCTACATGTCAATAAGTTATTGGGTAAGCGTACCAAGAGTGGAGCTCCTGTTTTTTTTTTTGTTTTTTTTTTGTTTTTTGTTTTTTTTTGCATTGATTTTGATGATTGTATAGACAATGAGAAATGTTTTATATTTGTGTTGAGAGTCATTCATTGGTGGATTCATTTGTCACATCAAGCAGATACACCAACATTCAATCAATGCACTAAAATAAAGTGCCTGAAGTGGATGTGCAGCTCTCCACGCTATAAAACACGCCATCCGTCTACTGTGTCAGTGTGGAGCGCTTTGTTGATTGAAATCAGAGCCGTTTCATTTTGACGAGTCACTCATATAGACACATTACTCAAAATACTGGCACCTAAAGGTCCTGGTGAACCTGACTGGAATGTCTAATAACCAGGTGATTGACACCAGCTTCTGCTTGCATTATTCTCATTCGTAACTCGTCATTTAACGATAGTCAAATATACACAAAATGTCATGAAAATGGCCTCTGATTGGTTTAAACCAAAGACGAAGCTCTGAGCCGAAAGTTCAAGTGTCTCTCTACAACTTTAGATGTGGCATTGCAAAACAGTCCAAAAGTTATTTATTGTACATGTAAATGAAAACATAAGTATTAGTATTACCATGAATGGCATCGGCACAACAATATGAGAAATGATTGAGCGTTTGGTTTCTAAATGTGTTTTTGATTGTTGTCTGGGTCGTATCTTTGACCTAGTGTCGTTTTGTTTCTTGGTTTTTTTAAAGATGAGGGTGCATTTTTAGTTTTTCATGACATGAGAATCCACAAAGGTGATCTGAACGTCACAGTTTCCCAGGTGACAAATTTAGGTTATAAAAAACAGTTTTCTTGTCATGATTATAATGTTATTAACAAGTTACAAAAACTTTTCTTGCGATGTTCAACGTTATTTTTACCCAATATATAATGCTGTTTGAATGGTTATTTTTAGTAATCTATGTATATATATTAAAGGAGAACTTCGTTGAGATATATAAGAGCAATGTAATTTTCCTCTTCCATATAAAGCTGTTGACAAACACTCTTTTAATTTGTCTAGCAGCTATTTTGTCACTATTCATGACCAACCATCTTCCTGCGGCCTGTCAGTATTTTTCTTTGCTTGACCTGAGCTACTGATCATTTCCATGTGCATTTCATGTGTTTTGAATGAAGGGTTTCAAGTTTTAAGCAAAGTCAGGATGAAAATCTGTCTGTGTCATTCAGAAGGGTTGTAGAGCAAACCGAAGGAGCAGAACGAGTAAAAAGAAAAAAAGAAAGTTAGAGTCAGGGTGCTTTAAAAGGTTTATGTGATAGTTCAACACAACAGGTGAGTCTGGACATTTTCTGACTTTTTATATTTGTCTTGTTTTCCAGCACAAATATATTAAAAAAAAAATTCTTGTGACAATGCATAAACATTTTTCAATTATTAAATATTGATTGTTATTAGAAAGCAACAACAATACTTGTTTAGAACTCATTTTTCGCTTGTTCATGTACATGGCAAAAAGTCATTTTTCAGCACAAATATCTAAACATGCTTTAAAATGGACACATGCTTGTTTTCAGAGAAAGTAAATGTATTTTGTCTTGTGATGCTGCATAAAAATCTTTTAATTATTGTTATTATTATGTTTATTATTTGAAAACAAGACAAAAATACTTGTTTAGAATATATTTTTCCTCTGTTCATTTACAGAGCGAAAAGTCATGTCCTTCCTTATTTTTGTCTTGTTTTCCAGTATAAATATCTAAACATTCTTAAATCAAGATACATTTACTGGAAAAGCAAAATGACAGAAAACAAGAAGTGAGAAATGAATTAGAAATTATAGTTCATCCTTAAAATAAGAACAAATATCTGCCAGTGGGCTCAAAAAATCAAAATAATTCAAAGAGAATCAAGTTTAATATTTGTTCTGGAAAACAAGACAAAAATATTGAGAAAGAACATCACATTATGCAGTGTATTATTTTTAGAAATTTTTTAATTCGTCATAATTTGCTGATGGCAGGACAGAGCCATGGATCAGAAGCTTCTTCTCATCCTCATGATCTGTGGAATACACTGTGTTACAGGTGAGATACTGAAGGAATACAACTATGAATGTAAACATGGTGTGCATGTGATAAGCAGTGGACAGTAACGGAGTAGCTTTACTTCGTTACTGTACTTAAGTACATTTTTCAAGTATCTGTACTTTACTGGAGTAGTTTTATTTTGAGTAACTTTTACTTTTACTTCACTAAATTCCAAAGCATAAGATCGTACTTTTTACTTCACTACATTTCATAAAACATATCGTTACTCCTTATAATATATCACGTGCTCCGACACGCAGAACGAACTGATTCTTTTCAATGAACCTTTTAAATCGGTTCGCAAATCGCACCAAACGATTCATTCACGAATTAGAATGATCTGATTGCAGCTGTTCTCGAGTCGACAACTCACTGATTCAAATGAACCGTTTAGTGCGAGTCTCCAGTGAACTGAATTCACAAGTAACAACCAGGAGATATTGTGAGCGCGCGCGCGTTTGATGCTGTTAAAAG